CTATAAAAGTGTGTCTTGCTGATAAACCTTATTTTGCTGGCTGAATTGGTGTAGGTTCTACTGATAAAGCCTGCTCTTGCTGCTACAGATTGCATGTATGCTAGGTTTGCTGACATCGCCGACCTGAATCTCCTCTAGCGTAGATTAGACTCAAATTACAGAGAAATCTGACTGTGATGTTAATGTAATGCCTGGAAGATCAAACCTCTGTGTCCTCTTCACTGGTTTTCTGAGATAAACACTTTTTATAATGTTCCAAGCTGTTGTTCAAACCCAGCCAGGAAGGTGCTTTCTAGCAATCTCCTCTGGTGCACCCAAAGGTCTCTGTCCCCTGTGGTGCCATGGAGTTCATTCTGCCCTGTTTCCCTCATATCTTTCTTTAAAGACCAAAAGATCCTTTAAAGCGCCTTTAAACAGGTCTCTTCCAGGAGGCTATGGAAAGCCATGAGTTTGTGGACAGGCTTTTTCTCCGACTGAAGGTGTTTTCTGAAGAGGAGCTGGTTTCTCACTATCCCTCACCTCCATTGCAATGTCAATCATTAAAACCAGAAGAGCCAGGCACCAACAGCCTCATGGCAGTGTCCCAGCTGTGTGACTCCAGATGGGATCATCCCCAAGGCTTCGGGAGAGCAGGAAGCCTTTGGAGGTAAAGAGTGAGTGCAATTGCCAGCCGAGCATCATAGATGCCCTGAGGTGAAACCATGAGGCTGTTTCCCAGGCTAGAGCATGGCCACCAGCGGAGACATCAGGTGGGGTCTGGGGCATGGCTGGGGTGGGGGGTGCATCTCCCATTCCTACCAGCACAGTCCATGACTTGAGCTCTTGCTTAGCCCAGCCCGGGAGTCAGGATTTTAAGTGCCTGAGAGCAGCCTTTCTCCATAGCACAACCTCTGGTGCTCCTGAAAAGGCTGCTGTAACACCATGGGTAGGAAGAGTTTGTCTTCTTCCACGCCAGCCCTGGCTTGCCAAGGGGCTGGGAGGCACCGGCACGGCATGGGAGGTAGCTGGGAGTGTGCTGCGGCTGGGAGGAGGGTGGAGGAATGTGGAGGCCCTTTCCAAGTGCCTTGGCCCATCAGGAACTTGGCCTGAATTTTCTTCCCCCTCCTGCCTCTCCTATCTGGAGCGCTTCCCAGGGGCTGCGGGCGGAGATGGGCTCTCCCAGCACCTGGCCTGATACTCCTCAGAGAGCTTGCATGGATTATTTGCTGCTGCTTCAGATCAGCTGTGCTAGGCAGGAACGAGAGGCAGGTCAGGGATGCCAGAAGGCGCTAAGCTCTGCTTGCCTGGAGGGCTCCAGGGAAGCAGGAGGTGTGGGATCTGGCCAGGTCTGGGACAAACCTGTGCCCTTTTGCACCCTGGACATCCCTACCCAGTGCTCTGCATGAGAAGAGGCTCTGCTTGCATGGGGCAGCAGCCAGGTGCTGCTGGGCCAGGAAAGCAGGAGAGTGCTTTGGCCAGGGCATTGCTGGGATGCTGTGGACGGTGGGTGGGGGTGCCCAGTGGTCAAGGGCTGGCTGCAAAGGCCTTGGTGACAAGCATGTGTCGTTCCCTCTTCAGAAGAGGAAGTCAGGACTTTTTCCATGTTTCTCACAACCATCTGATGAGGTTGCAGTCCCTGGCCCAGGTGCAGCTGCGGGTTTGGGTGTGCTGGCCGTTGATACTGCCTCTATTGCTTTTGAAGATAAGGGCATGTTAGTATTTTATTGCCCCCTTTCCTCATCTGAGGCACCATCCAGAGCAAGAAGAACAGAGGGGAAGGACTCATTTCCTTATGACGGGGGATTAGTCATCGCAGCCTGGCCAGCCAGCGAGGGCCTGCAAGGTTCCCTGCTCCACCATGCCTCCTGCGAGCCCGGGAGCTCGGAGGAGGGAGCCGTTCCCCACCCAGCCCTCTTCCCACCCCTCCTCTGCTTTCCCCCTGGCTGCCTGTTCCCTTTGCATTCTGCTCCTGTCCTGAGCTGGGGCTGTGCTCCTCCATGGCTTTCCCGCAGGAAAACCTGGAGCACCCTCAGCTTTTCCCGCTGAGTTGGTGAGGGGCAAGAGGCAACCTGAGGGGCTGGCTCTGCACTGCACTGGCTGGCTGGGCTCCATCGCTTCACTCACGCTTTCCGTTGGCAGAGCTGGCTCCCAGGGCAGTCTGGGCTCTCGTCCTCTCTGGCTCTCAGCTGGGCCACATCCAGCCTGCCCTCGAGGACCCCGACTTATCAATAATGGGGAACGTGGCTATTGCGTGAGGCAGAGATAACCACCGCCACCGCATTTGTGCACTCGGTGTCCTTCCCTGCCCCATCCTCTGCTCTTGCTGGTAAAGAAGTGGAAAATCCTTTTCAACCTACTTTGCCCTGTTGCCAAGTTTCACATCTTTGGGTGCATTCAAGTTAAAGGCCAGGAAAGCTGGAGGGGAGAAACCTTCCCCTCCCTGAGCCCACACACTCTTAATGCAGGGGCTCCTCCTTGGCAGGATTGGAGGCACGGGGGACTGGGGAAAGGCTCGCCCCCTTTTCAGTGTGGTGCTCATCAGCTCCTCTCCTGCTGTGCCTCAGCTTGAAGCCGGCATGCTGCACCCACGGAACGGGGGTCTGGTGTTGCACAGGTGAGAAAGAAAGCCGAGGGGCTGTTGGGGATGTTGGGGCGCCTTGCAGTGCCTCTGCCCTGCACTCGTCTGTCCAAACCACAGGTGTTTCTGTACCCGAGCTCCTCGGTCTGCCTGCCCTTGCCTGCGCCAGCTGCCTCTCTCCTTCAGGGAAAAGCCGTGCAAAGGCTGACTCCTCTAAAACCAGAAATCTTCCCTTCTGCTGCTTGAAGTGTTAATAAACCCAGCACCAATCAAACTGTGAATCGAGTGTTTCAAATGTTCCTTTGTTTAATTAGCGGAGCCCCTGTCCACAGACACAGGCAGCGCTGTCCGGCCCCACAGCCCAGGGTGGGAGGCAAGGGGCGAGGACGCGGCGCTCAGGAATTCCTCTTCTTTGGAGGCGCAACCTCTCATACCAACTGTTTTCTTGCCTCCTCTCTGCATCAGCTGCCCCAAACCAAAACATTTACTGCTGAAGGACTTAAGTGAACTCACGAAATCTCCTAGGGGGCTGCAGCCAGCAGGCTAAGCCCCTTGCACGCTTTCCATCCTCTGCACCCAGGGCCCTCTTTTCCCCGGGGCAGCAATAAGTAATTCAGCTGGCCTGGGGCTGAGGTGGTGCTTTGTCTCTTGGCCATGGAAAGGGGGTGACTGGCCTTTGCCTTGAAATCCACCCTGATCCCCTCCAGCAAGCATCACCCTGGGGATGAGTCCCTGGGTGGCCCCTTGCTCAGTAAGGAGGGGAGAAAGCATGACTCGACGTTATCAGGAGCGTGTTAACCCCATGGCAAACATGATTTCACTGGTGCAAGGGTAACAGTGGTGACGTCTGAGCAGGGAACATGGTCCCCTCCTCTCTGGGACCTAATCTAAATTGCTTTATGAGGGGCTAGCAGGTAGACCAAAGCCTCCTGCTCCCTGGGGGACCGAGAGCCAGGGCAAGGGGGTCCCCAGGTGGCCCTGTGCTGTGGCATGGGGGAGCAGGGGTTGTCTCACCTCTGGCGGTGGGACATCAGAGAGGGTATGGTGGTTAAAATGTACTTGGTCCTCAGTGGGCTGTGGGGCTGGGCTGCCTGTGCCTCCTCTCCTCCTGCGGTGCCCTGGCACGCACCCAGTCAGTATCCCCAAGTGCCACCGGCAGCCTGTGCAAGCTGTCATGCTGCTGCTACTGTGCAGGGCTGCAACCACACAGCGCATCCTGCCGCTGCCAAAGGGTCGCGTGGAGCAGTCTTGACCCCTGCCTGCCCATCCCTTGCGGCTTACAGATGTCTCACTGGTGGCGTTTTTCCTCCCAGAACAACCCCTGCAAGGACCCCTGGCCTCAGGACCTGCCTGTGAGACCCCTCTGCAGCTGATTTGGGGTGCTCAGCCTTCGCTGTGGCCAGCGGCTGCCTCAGGTGCTCGGGATTGTGTTGCCTCCTGGGTGCCGGTGCTCACAGCATCCTGGGATAGAGATGCAGTGATGCTGGGGCTCTCCCCACTG